CACACACATTATTAACTGACGTTTTCTGTCTCTGTGACAAGAACATTTGTACTGGGCCTGACACGAGTCACATGACACCAGCTGCACTTTGAATCAGTGACACTAAAACAAACTATGACTCTTTGGTGTGATCAGCACCTCTTCACATGAAATAAAGATTAATGAGGACTTTCAGTCAGAATATAAAAGAGAAGAAAGCAGTGTCTGTATCTTTTTGAAATGAGTTTGAGTTTCACGTCTGCGGGCTGACGTCTCTGACATTGAGTGGAGCTCCACAGTGGGGCGGTCGCCTTGCACCGTGACATCTACAGTACAGACTAGTCAGGCCCGTGCGAACGACACAGGCGCCATAGACGAGGAGGAAAACAGCGGCACGGTCCTGCTTACCTCCTTCAGCTGAGCCAGTCGGTCTTTCATCGTCAGTCTTGGTTGAATTAAAGAAACACAAAGAGAGAGCTAGTGTGTAGCTGGAGTGTGGCAGGTGTGTCTGAGGTCCACAGAGCTGCTGAAACAGCCTCTGCCCACACAAATGTTGGCTTCAGTGAATCCGGCAGAACTAAGAGAACAGACTTCTGAGGGTGAGGTGAAATCACTCATGCGTGCACACCAATGAATGCCTTGCTCGTGCGGATGGTTGTGTCTGAGACGAGTTGTGATCAACCTAACCTGAGGTCCCACTAAGCCTCTATCCCCTAAGAGCGGATTAGGACGAGTGTTGACCACGATAAACCTCTTCCTGGTCCCTCCTCCCACACGGCAGCCTGTGGATTTTCTCTTTGGAAAGGAAAGCAGAAGCTGGCCTTTGTCTGAGGATGTTACTGTTTTATTATTTGTATTGATAAGAAAGCCCCATGAATAAGGTTGATGTCTGTGATGGAGGCCTGAGTGATCAGAGCAGTGTCCTGTGAAGAACGTGCAGCGACCCTGTGACCTGCTGATGCATGAAGCTGGTCTGACCCTGCAGCGGTGGAGGAAGGGGCACGCTCCCCACCCAGCACTCCATCACAGGCCAGGCTACCCAGCCTACTCCACCAGGTCTCTGCTTCATCACTGCCAGGACAACCCCACCCTCATGACTCTCCAGCAGGGACTGCTTGGACCAGGGGCGATTCTAGGATCAGAGCTTTGGGGTGCTGAGCACCCAGAGAGCTGCCCAGCCAGCCAACATACACTTTACTCGTCACGATGAGACGTCTTCCCCGTCTCTGTCAGTCCCTGCATCCTCCCTGTCCTCATCGTCTGTCGTCTTCGTCTCC